AACCATGCCAGACCGTATGATAAAGCACGCAGGTGCTAACCATTCAGCCATCCAACCCGGGCAGGAGATGAAGACAGACTCTAGAGCATTGATTGTTTAATCGTAGCCCACAATGATAACATATTCAACGTTCTAGAGTCTGTCTCCTTTTATGTTTAGTGAATCAATTGTTAAATATGAAGTATCGAGTATATACAGAATGAATTGAAGATTTGATTGATATATCCTCTGACTCACTTTCTATCCCGAGAGATTTACCTTCTGTCAGTTGTCTTTGAACAGACGGACAAATATGTCCTTATTTGGGCACTATGAATAATCCTGGAATTAGGCCTGCAGTCTGGTGCCAGTGTTTATAATCGTGGAAACGTTGTGCCGTGAGATAAATATTTATTTCTATTCAGCATTTACTAATTAGAAAGCTATTGATTGGGCAAAATGGACGTAAAAACGTTGAAAATCAAACTTGATGCCTCACGTGATTGTCTCATTCTTCGTTTGATGTTAGAGCTTGAAACTTCTTAAAGTGTGGGATTCTCCCAGGCTTAATCTTTTAGGATATCTTGAAATAAGCTTCCATTAATTTCTACCAGCTTTTAGTTCAATGACCAATAGACTCGACTCCAGTTCATCGTTTTTTTCTTTTATTTTAAATTGGAATAAAAAAAAACCCTGAAAAATGATTTTTATCCAATTTTCTCCCCAAAAAATAGTTGATATTTTGTTGATTTCTTATTGCAATATGTTTCAGTTTTAAATGGATTTTGGGGTCTATTTTTTGGACATTATCTGTTTCAAATTTAATTGGTTGGATTTATACCAAGTTGTCTTTGATCGATTCTCATATGTCTGGTAAATAGAACAAATTTTCTTTACCCAAGGAAGTGAAATATTAAAGTAGCTAAGTCTCTAACTCAATATCATCCAAAGTCTTACACGTTGAAAGCACGAATTATTTGTCAATTCAAATCAACATTGAGGTTGTAATCTTACCGGGAAAAGGTAAGACAAAAGACAAAATAAACATTTTACCATTGGTACACGAATCGTGTACCATAGTGCGTTTCAGCGTCATTTGTAACAAGTAACCAGAAAGACCGTGGCTACCGTATTTTTCGGTGTATTAGGCGCATGCGTAGATAAGGCGCAGGGCGAGTTTGGCAGAGGTGTTTCAGGAAAAAATAAAAATGCATGGTTTAGGCGCACCCTTCTCCAGCGCCTTGTGAAATACGTGCCATACCATAGTTACCATACATGATTCAAATACACCTGCGATCTCCAGTAACTGGTCCAAACTCTACTGTTTACAGTTATAATAATTACCAATATTTAGCTTTATCAAGCTTAATATATATTTCTTTATGAAATTAAACTCTATATACATTTTTTGAATTGCATAAGACTTTATATTAATTACAACTTTCAATTGAATTGTTACATAACTTAAATGGTAATTCTGGCAACCTGTACGATAGTCAAATTGTCGTTAGAGTCTCGCCCACAACGCACATAGCCGTCTATTACATCCTGTTAAATTCACGAGCAATTGGTTGTGATAAATGTATATGTATTGATGATAAACAAATGAAATAATAACTGTAAAAATAATTTATCATGATCAGTTACTCACGGCTTAAATCCTGACTACCGGTAAAAAGCGAAACAATAATTCTAGTTTATTTTATACTATCCAAACAACTGACAATCAAACAATTTTGTCAATTGCCCCGCCCACTACACGCAGCATGACAATATCTAGATTGAGGCCATTTATATCTATCAGTAACATAAGACAATAGCATTTTTAATACCAATCAAAGAAACAATGATTTTGTGAACAACAAACAACTTCATAAAGCATACAATGACAACTCATATTCAACAACTCATGTCAAAAGGTGACACCATATCTTATCTGGAAAGCATGCACAATAGACTGGAATAACCAGACACTAGAAATTGGCATTCTGTTGAGACTTATGCCGTATTTCGCTGGACATAACTGGTTTGAAATTAGAGTCAAAACAGAAACAATTGAATGTAAATAAGTTTATATGCAATCAGATTACATTATTATATGCGTTGCGACCCATTTGGGTCAATTTCTAGGTCCCAAATATTAGCGATTTAGCTCCTTTAAGGAGCAGGTTGCAGGTTGTTCTTGTTTTTAGTGTTTTAACTTCCGCTTCCGCCGAAGATGATATCCACCAAGTCTTATCTTTCATTTTTATTATCCTAGCGAACGCACAGGGTCTTTCCAGAGGGAGGAAACCGGAGTACCCGGAGTAAAGCCACGAGGTTGAGAAGGCAGCCCTATCTCCAAGCCGCATACGCTCACACCAGGGATCGAAACCACAACCGCAAACCAGAGGTGACCGGCCAGCTAGAGGCCAAAGCGTGGCACTCTAGACCACTAGGCCATCCCAACCCCCCCTCCTGTTGCAGGTGCGCATTGCACCATAAAGATTGTCATTGAGTCAAGTGGCCTGGTTTCGATTCCCCGGTTGTACGTGACAAGGTGTAGGGTCGCCTATCCAACCTCGTGAGTTTTCTCTGGGTCCTCTGGTTTCCTCCCACTGTTAAAATGAGCAAGCAAATTATTGAAATAAAATTGAATCATATGTTAGTCCCAAAATTACCTAGTTTGTTTCAAGTTGACATTAAACCCCATCTCTCTCTTTTAGGAATCTAATTGGTCTCTTTTCTCTCTCTTTTTAAGACATTTTAAGATTTTTTTAGGACACTTATTAGTCTCTCTCTCGCTCTCTCTCTTTCACTCAGGGGGGTTGGATGGCTGAATGGTTAGCGTGCGCGCGCTGTATCATAAAGTCTGTCATTGAGTCAACTGGCGTGGTTTCGAATCCCCGGTTGTACGTGACAAGGAGTAGGGTCGCCTGTCCAACCTCGTGGGTTTTCTCCGGGTCCTCCGGTTTCCTCCCACTGCTAAAGACCCCTATGCGCAAGCGAATTATTGAAATAAAATTAAACCATATGTTAGTCCCGAAATGACCTAGTTGTGTCGAGTGGACGTTAAACCCCATTTCTCTCTCTCTCTCTCTCTCTCTCTCTCCCTTTCACTCACTCACTCACTCACTCACTCACTCACTCTCTTTCACACTCTCTCTCTCTCTCTCTCTTTCACTCACTCACTCACTCACTCACTCACTCTCTTTCACACTCTCTCTCTCTCTCTCTCTCTTCATTAGCTCAGTTAGTGTAGAGTGTAGAAAAGTAAAACATTTAACTCCATTTCATTTGATTAGCCAGAATGATACAGATTCTTATAGAGGAATGGTGGATCTGTCCTTTATATCAAATTTCGTATTTCATCATCCGGTACATCAACATTATTGACATAAACGAAATTGACATCGACTGCTGTAATTGACATATCAAAGCTCTTCTAAGTAATCATGGATGTAGCTATTAATTACCAATTATTTATACCAAAAATACCATGTGAATATGAAATCCCAGTACATTGTTAATATTTGTAATGTAAAACAGTAAATTGTTAATATTTGAAGAGTAAAATAGTACATGGTTAATATTTTGAATGTAAAATGATGAATTGTTAATAATTGAACTGTAAAAGAGTATTTTGTTAATATTTTAACTGTAAAACAGTAAATTGTTATTTTTTTAAGTCTAAAAAAAGTAAAATAGTACATTGTTAATATTTGAATTTGTGATTTGTTAATATTTGAACTGTAAAACAATAAATTGTAAAATAGTATAATATACCATGTGAATGCAAAATTTAAATTGTTACCATTTTGAGCTCTAAAAAAGTAAATTGTTAGTATTTGAACAATAAAATAGTAAATGTTAATATATGAACTTAAAAATACAAAATTATTAATTTTTGAACTTAAAAATACAAAATTATTAATTTTTGAACTTTAAAAAACAAAATTATTAATTTTTGAACATTAGAAAACAAAATTATTAATTTTTGAACCTTAAAATACAAAATTATTAATAACTTAAACTGTTAAATTTAAACTGTTAACCTGTAATTTTGTTAATATTTGAACTGTGAAATAGTACATTGTTAAAATTTCACCCTTAAAAGAGTAAATTGTTAATATTTATATTTGAATTGAAAAACAGTAAACATTAATATTTGAACTCGTAAGACAGTATATGTTAATATTTGAACTGAAAAACAGTAAACATTACTATTTGAACTTGTAAGACAGTATATGTTAATATTTGAACTCTAAAACATTAAATTTGTTAATATTTGAACTCTAAGACAGTAAAATGTTAATATTTGAACTCTAAAACATGAATTTGTTAATATTTGAACTCTAAGACAGTAAAATGTTAATATTTGAACTCTTAAGACAGTAAACGTTAATACTTCAATTGTAAAATAGTAAATTGTGGGTGCTGTTGGCTTGTTTATATTGACAGCAGAGGATGTTGAATGTTTTCAATTCCTCATATTGAAAAGAATTGAATCGTATTGGGAGTTATCTTCTTTTTTAGAAATTATATTTTCACAATATTTTTAAGCTACCGGGAATTAAGACATCCCTCTGTTGCCAATGATAATATTATGGGTAGTTAGTAGAAATCTTAATTCTATTTATTAAAGTAAAGTAAGATGGAAATGGACAGATAAAAATCGATGAAAGTATAGGCAGGCCCGTAACTGGGGGGGGGGGGGGGGCAAGCCCTCCCTGCAAAGAGTTTCGCCCCCCACCCCCACCCCCACCCCCCCTCCCCTGTGAAAAAATTGTCAACCTTAAAAAAAAATAGATATACATTGTCTGTCAATTTTACAGCACCCCTGATAACACTTCCCGTACCCATTGTTGTTCTGTTACGACCCTGAGCATAGGTGGAAATGCTGCTGGTTGGGCAAAATGTCCCTCACATAGCACACTGCATTGCTTATGCCCGTCTTCATTATCCCGGTTGGTGAAGAAAAGTAGGAAGTTTTCATTTCTAACAGTAAAGTAAAATAGAAATGTATGTTTTTTTTTCTTCAGGTAACATTATGTACAGTTGGTTATGGTGATGTGGTGCCAACAACCTGGGCTGGTAAACTAATAGCATCATTCTCAGCCATTCTGGGTATCTCATTCTTCGCTCTTCCAGCAGTAAGTTTACTTTTATACTGTGGAATTATATTGACGCCATCTCAGCCTGTCGTTTTACAGTATATTCACAATTACTTGTGCATGCTGTATCATAAGGTCTGTCATTGAGTCAACTAGTGTAGTTTCGATTCCCTTGTTGTACGTCCGGGCAAAATTTCCCTCATAGCACACTGTATGGCGTATGCCTGTCTTCATTAGCCCAGTTCGAAGCAGAACAGTAGGTCGTTAAACCCCATTTCATTTCATTTCATTTTCCTTGTTGTACGTGACAAGGAGTAGGGTCGCCTGTCCAACCTCATGGGTTTTCCCTGGGTCCTCTGATTTCCTCCCACTGCTAAAGACCCCTATGCGCCTATTGAAATAATCGAACCATGTGTTAGTCCCGAAATGACCTAGTTTGTGTCAAGTGGGCATTAAAACCTCTCTCTCTCTCCCCCCTCCCTCTCTCTCTCTCTCTCTCTCTCTCACACAAGCACAGGAGGTTTGGGTCGCAGAATGGTTTAAACCATTTAGATTATAAGGTTTTTCATTGAGTAGGGTCACCTGGTCTGCCTTGTGTCTTTTTCTCTGGGTATATTTTATAGACCCACATTTAATGCATATATATATATATGTCATCCATCAGAACTCTCTGGAGTTCTTAATTAAAGATTATTGTTCAAATGTGCAAGGGTTATTCATTTGATCATAAAGAAATTCCATGCCAATTTTAAAAACAATTAACCAAACTCACTGCTCCTAACGTCTAGAATCAATACTTCTACCAAATATGGCGTCAACTAAAGCACTATAACAGTTAACTTAGCTTAACCGTTAAATTTTACGCTCTGAAGAAATTCTCTGCAAACATTAGTGGCGGAACAAAGAAAGAGGAAACGGAAGTGCTGTAAATAGGTGGCAGGAAAGGAGAAAAGAAACGGAAGTGCCTGTAAATAGTAGATGTGGTGTCCATGTCGCATACTAAATGTATAATAACTGGTCCCTTTTATAATATTGTACATCATAATATATGCTCCCGTAATATCTGGATATTAGAGACTACAGTAACCCATCGAGCGGGTAGCGAGATCTAACTGCTATCTCCATCTCAATATCAACCATCTATGTATGTGAAACATAATTTATAAACAACCATGAATAAAACAACTTTATAGTAGCCACGGAGGAACGAACAGCTCAATAACAAAGGCTATTACTTTATAATATTTATGTCTGTTGGTTGCTTTAAGAACTAAGTGCAATATTCTGTGTCTCAAAAATAGTATAAAATTTCAGAAAAGAAATGAATCATATTTTAATTTTAAGGGGGGTTAGAGGGCCAAATGGCTAGCGTGTGTGCATTGTATCATAAGGACTGTCATTGAGTCAACTGGCATGGTTTCTATTCCCCAGTAGTACATGACAAGGAGTAGGGTTACCTGTCCAAGCCTGTGGGTTTTCTCCGGGTTCTCCGGTTTCCTCCCACTGCTAAAGACCCCCTACACTCAATCGAATTATTGAAATAAAATTGAAGCATATGTCTCTCTCTTTAATTTTATATATTTCATTTTGCATTATCAAATTTTCTGTCTATCAATAGGGTATCCTAGGTTCAGGTTTTGCTTTGAAAGTTCAACAGCAGCAGAGACAAAAACATTTGAACAGACGTCGAATTCCAGCAGCCATGTTGATTCAGAGTTTATGGCGTTGCTATGCAGCAGACGAACATTCCATGTCAGTTGCCACGTGGAAGTGTCACATGGTACCATTACCAAGTCCATCAGTGTAAGTGTTTTATGTTTCATCTAGAACAACCGTAACTTCCTAGATTATGGCCCCTGATATATGAAAAATTGCGTTTGTAGCTTGTGGTTCCTCTAGAGGTCACAATTTTTACCCGATTTAAAAATGCGTTTAAATTCATCACAGCTACACTATAATAACGGTCAAATTCGAATTCCGGGAAGATCGCCCGAAACTGCCGGACAAAATGGCTGCTCCACATAATTTTCTGGATTATGTTCCCTGATTATTTGAAAAAATATGTTTTTAACTTGTGGTTCCTCTAGAGGTCACAATTTTTGTCCGGTTTAAAAAAGGCATTTAAATTGATCAAACACTACAAACCCCAGAATGCCTCGTTTTGGGGTGGGGTTCAGCCAAACCAAAGTCTTGTCGAGCGTATCGAGGACAGCATAATATTATTTGGTGACACTTTCAAGCGATTGTGTAGAGACAAAAACACAAAAACACAAGGCAAAGTCGACTAGAAATGACATTGGTCGCATAAAAAGAGTTTGTTACATTCACACAATATTCCCAACAAAGAGATGTGAGAAATGAAAGTTCAAAGCGGAGCAAACTCAATAATTGTATTTTAGGTATTTGAAAATTATTAATTACAAATATGCTGTTCCTGTTTTTATATAATAAACAATACTATATTTAATGTATCTCTTGAAATTTTTATGTAATTGGCACTCAGTTGTATGTATTAAAATTGCAAAAGTAGTATCTAAACGGCCAATTAAATTCCATCGAAACATGAAACGTGGCAAAATTGTCGCAAAAATTTGCCGAACGAGGCATTCTGAGGTTTATAGTTAAACTTACACCATATCGTGAAAATTGGACTGAAACTGTGAGACGAAACGGCCGTTCCTCATATGCATATCCGATTTCAATGAAACTTGAAATATATGGTTATATCCCAAAGATCTGGGTTCCCTTCGACACTTTCGCATATCTGATTGTAACTTCCTGAATTATGACCCTTCTCTTGCAAGTGTGCGCTTATAATTTCCCTTATAGTACAGCTGTCAGGGCAAAATTTCCCTCATACGTCTGTCTTCCTTAGCCCTTTTGGTGCAGAAATCTAGGAAGTTTAAACATTTGTCATTTATGTGATTGTCAAATAAAGGGAGTTGGAACCAACCAGCTAAATATTTGTTTATGCCTGTATTTCATTTTATCTTTTCCAGAGAAAGAGAACGGCCATGGAAAAACCAAGCTTCATTCGTCAGTAGATTTTCAACCAAACGTAGAGACCGTTCATCCACACACAACTCTTCTCTAAATCATCGCGAGAGTATGATTGGTGCTCAATCACCCATGATTCCCCGTCAGAACAGTGCACGACGCGTCACCACTTCCTCCATGGGTGGAGGACCAGAGGAAGATGTTCCGGATGCACTTCAGAGGTAGAAAAATATGTTTTTTCTTTTACTTTTGTTTTTGTGATGGAGTGTAATATTGGCACTGCTTTCGTGCATTCAGCTTGTGTGCACAAATGAAAGGACTCACTGGCATTTAACATTTGAACTGGAAATACACAGGGCATAATTCTATGGAATACAATCGTTGTTTATTACAAATGTAATCACTGTTTATTACAAATGTAATCACTGTTTATTACAAATGTAATCACTGTTTATTACAAATGTAATCACTGTTTATTACAAATGAAATCGCTGTTTATTACAGATGTAATCACTGTTTATTACAAATGTGACCACCAACTGTGGTAGAAAATAAAAAAATTATTATCCGATTGACTTGAAATTTATACACTAGAAGTTACCTACAAAAGAATGGATAGGCAACAACCTTTGTGGATGATGGGAGCAAGACTTTGGCTCGCTAACCTTGTGTATCATGTTCGATACCGGTGTTTGCAGAAAATTTTCTCAGTGTTTTTTCGGCTTGACTTCACCCTGTCAGTGGTGTATAACAGAATGTCTGGCAAGGGGCAACATATAGTTGTTCGCATGTCACATAAAACCAAGGTCCCATGTACAGATTGGCGTGTACATAAAAGATCCCCTGACAGTTTCTCTCATACCACACTGTATGACATATGCCTATCTTCATTAGCCCATTCGATGCAGAACAGTAGGACGTTAAACCCATTTCATTTCATTTCATTTTTGCTTGGATGTGGGTAAGACGCTGGCTTACTAGCCTGGAGGTCGGGTGTTCGATCCCTGCATTTGCCGAGAAATTTCATCCAGATTTTCCGGCATGGTTTCCCCTTGTTAGGGATGCCGTACGGAGAGCCTGACAAGGACAGCTGTCTAGTCGTTCAGATGGGACGAAAAACCGAGGTCCCTTGTACACATTGGCGTGCACGTAAAAGATCCCTTGACAGTTGAATTTTTGCTTGGATGATTGAGCTGATTGATATGGGTATTTGTGTCATAACCTTGCAACGTATCTTTTATTATTGTATCATTTGAGAATCCTTGTTAAAATGTGTTCATTTTTGCTGGGACGATTGAGCTGATATATAGGTATATGTGTTATTGCCTGGCAACCTATATTTTATTATGTTGTTAAATGTGAAATGAAATGATATGGGGTTTAACGTTCTACTGTTCTGCTCCGAACTGGGCTAATGAAGACCGTCATACGCCATATAGTGTGCTATGAGGGAAATTTTGCCTGGGCAGCGGCGCTACGACCTACTCTTATATCGAATTCCAACTGCCAAGGGATCTTTTACGCGCACGCCAATATGTACACAGGACCTTGGTTTTTCGTCCCATCCGAACGACTAGACAGCTGTCCTTGTCAGGCCCTCTGTCCTGCATCACTGACAAGGGGGGAACCATACCGGAAAATCGGGATGAACTTTCTCGGCCAATGCAGGGATCGAACACCCGAACTCCAGGCTAGCAAGTCAGCGCTATTTAACAGTAATTTTATTCCATAGAATAATGTCCTGTGTAAGATGGGTTGTGGTACTTTGGATTTGAATTATTACAATTCAAAAGAATATTTTGCTTGTCAGCCAAAAAGCATGAAAATTTAATGCTTCATAATTTGAGATGAAGATGTGATCGTAAAATCAGACTTCAATGTATCTTTGTGTATTAACTCTCTAACTACCACATGCCGTTTACAAAGACTTTTTGATATTCATTGGTGCTGACATGTTGTTATGAAACACTATCTTCCATTGGTTGATAGAAATATAATTGAAGAAAACTGGCCAACCAACCAGACTGTTATAATCAAACACAAAATTTCCAATCTGATTAAAAAACAGGTCTATATTTCGTTTCGTTTTTTTATACTTTCGATGGCCTACACTAAATGTACTCGAAGGTCGTGTCAGGAGTCGTATGAATGGCTTTTAACCCTATGACGTCGGACATTGATAAATCAATCAGGGTTGACGTTTCTAGTGGGTTACCCACAGTTCCGTGCATGGCTCGCCAAGAAGTCGCCGTAATAGGCCATTTCATTGACTTATCCCTCCAGTGGCGGCGCCAGGGGGGGGCAAGGGGGGGGCGTTTCGGTAATCAATACCTTCTACAGTGAATAAATCCCACATCCCCACTCAGTCATAAACTTGCATGTTGTACTCAGTAGAGCATTTCTGACAGTCTATTTTTCAAAATTTTCTTGGCGAGGTCCCCAATGGACTCACTACTTTGGCGCTCACAAGGGGAATTTGTTGAGGTTCGCAAGTCCGTTCGTTTGACATTTTGTTCTCTAGTCGGATAAACTAGTGATCAGGCGACGGACGGTATCTGGTCAGATCTATTTATCTCGACGATCGGTGCCTGAAATACTGCCAGGCTGCATTTCCGGCAACCTGTTTTTCAAAATTGTCTGGGGGAGGCCCCCTACCCCTAGTTAAAGCTCGTGCCTTTGCCCCCTTAACCTTGGACTTTGCCCCAGCTTTGCCCCTCCAATCACCGAAGGCTGGCGCCGCCACTGTATCCCTCACTTCAACCAAAATGCCAATAATATAACAACTCTTCCAGATCCTAGTGTAGTAAAGACAATTTTGAACTATAAAAAACGAAACAAAATTAGATCTGTGTTTTAATCAAATTGCCAGTAACATTAGAAAGAAAAAATTCATGCACATTTGAACGGGAGATCTCATTAAGATTATGCTAATATATACTCTTATACACCTAATCTGAATACTTTTCTGGTGAATGATCGAAAAATTGAATTTCGCATAAAAATATTGCATACTTAAAGAGTTAATACAAAAATACACATGAACTGTATAATGTTAATCAAATTAGTAATCTGCTTAAAGTTTAATAGTAATTATTTTCAGATTAGGCCTCTCATTTATAGCATGTTTGGCCAGTGCATTAAAATTGAACTGAAAAAAGCACTCGTAAATTTGCAAGTCAAAAAAAGCTCTCCCATTTTGGACAAGGTGATGTATTTGATGAATAGACTTAATAATGAATCCGGGGTCAATGGCAAAATGTTGTAGTTAGAGTTCTTGTACTGTTCTAGAACAGTGTTTACCAATTTATGAAATTGTGTGGATCCTAGAAAACAGAGGGGTCTGCAGGGTGTAAAATTTAATATGAAAACATTGATATTCAGACAATGAGAGAAAGAGAGAGAGATGGGGTTTAACGTCCATTCGACACAAACTAAGTCATTTCGTGAGTAACATGATTTAATTTTATTTCATTAATTCGCTTGCGCGTAGGGGTCTTTAGCAGTGGGAGGAAACCGAAGGACCCGGAGAAAACCAACGAGGTTGGAAAGGTGTCCCTACTCCTTGTCACATACAACCGGGGAATCGTAAACACGTCACCTGACTCAATGACAGACCTTATGATGCAATGCGCACGCATTAACCATTCGGTCACCCCCCCCTCCCCCATTCAGACAATAAACGTCTGTAGTTGATATTTGAATCACAATCAGGAATGACGATGGTCTATGGGTTGAGGTACCATGTTTTAGTTCCGAAAGGTCTAGCACCCCTAATATAGGGAATGTGAATGGTCTAAGACGTGCACGTTCCATCTTAAGGTCTGTCATTGAGTCAACTGACGTGGTTTCGATGTCCTAGTTGTACTTGACAAGGAGTAGGGTCATATATCCAACCACATGGGTTTTCACCAGTTCCTCTGATTTCCTCCCACTGCTAACGCCCCCTACACGCAATCAAATTATTGAAATAAAATTGAAACGTATGTTAGTCCCGAAATGACCTAGTTTGTGGTGCATGGATGTTAAACCCCATTTCTCTCGATCTCTCTGGTTGAACGATTAAGTGCTACTGGAAAAGATAGGGAACCACTGTTCAAGAGCATGTATATGACCAGAACTAATTTTTCCTATCAATGGAGTCAGGTTGGTGCCAACAACAAGAAACCTGATATTATAATGAAGGAAATTATTCCAAGCTTAATAACTTAGATTAATGCTATCAATGTTAGCATAATTTGTATTAACATGAATTGAATCTTCTTTCTCCTAAATTCTTCCAATTCTTTCTTTTCTTAATTCTCCTGTACAGGACTAAAGGCATCACATCTGCTCGGAGGTCAATATTTTCTTTATTCTGTTTGAGTTCACCATGACCACCTATAAATGCACTGCTTACTCATTTTCTTTGTTACCTTAGCCAAACTTGTGGGCATTAACCATTTTTTTTAGCACATTCACTGCTACTCAAAAAAACTTATTTTGACATTTCTTTGCGGCAACAAGCCCCCCCCCCCCCCTGCCCCACCCCGCCTTAATATAAATTCAGACTGCTTGATTTGATTTAAGACAAAATGTAATTGTCTGCAGTCGTTATTTATTCAGTTAATAAAAATAGAATAATCAATTCACTACACATCTTACCACAAAAAAACCTTAATTTGGCAATGCTAGGGTCAAAAAACTCTTACATAGTAAATTCAGAAAACATTTGTTTTGTAATTTTTTTTAAGCCAATAAAATGAAGATAAATTCACTACAATTCAGCAAAACCTTCTTTAGATTCTTTTATTTTTAAAACACACTTAATTCACAGAAAACATTTTTGGTATTTAAATAAACTTAACATTCACACTTATCATTTATTTCTATTACAGTAATTCACTCGTCATTTATAAAATCAACACTATCAAAAATTATATATTTTATTAAGTTTTATTTGTACTTTGTTAATTACATATCACCTTTAAATAGTTCCATTTAAAAACATACAATCTTTGTCTTCACAGATATATTAAGTTCAGGCTACGAGGTCACAAAGCATTCTCAGAATTTATGCAACTTTCAATTACTGGTTATGAGAAATATCTTTGATTCAGAAACACAAAACTTTGCACATAGTTTCTTATTGATGTATTTGATACATGAAAACCTGAGTTCCTGTGTACACATTGGCTTGCACGTAAAAGATCCCTTGGCAGTTGTAATTCGATATAAGAGTAGGCCGTAGTGCTGCTGCCCGGGCAAAATTTCCCTCATAGCACATTGTATGGCGTATGCCCGTCTTCATTAGCCCAGTTTAGGAGCAGAACAGTAG